TGGGGGGGGGGGGGGGGGTTAGGAACTCAGTTCCCAAAACAATTTTTAGACATCTGTTGTTTAAAAAAAGATAGTAAATTTCAGCTTATCTGGCCATAATAAGAAATGTGCTGTTGGTTAACAGAACTACATACCAAGTTAAATAATGACTTTATCAAAATGGCTGACTCTTGGTTATCTTAAGTTATTTCTGCAGTAATGCAGTGCGTGCTATGGCACTTTAATAGCAAGTTGAGCAGGGAGCATTCCCTGTAATAGGAAAAAAGTAAAATAAGCAGAAATCAGCACAGTAAACCTGTCCTGTACTAGATACAAAACTGAGATTTGCTCTAAGTTTGCCTGAGAAATGTCAGTTTGAGATTACATTTCCAGCGAAACATATCTTGCAGAAAAAATGTATTCTCCAAAGAAAGTTATTTCACCAAGAAAACCTCCACTGTCACCGAAAGGAGCAGGATTAAAACGAAGCTTGCCCCCTAAAACACTTGCAAACTATTTCAAAATTTCTTCCAAACGTCACGGTAATGATGGAGCAGTAACATCGCAAGAAAAAAATAAAGGTAAGTACTATTTAATAATTGGTTACCTTTGGAAATGGAAATGCTACACTGTACTACTGTATAACTGGAACTGTGTGGAGAAAAGAGTAGAGCATGCTCATTGCACTCCAACTGCCGGTAAGAGTTACTTAATGCATCTCAGATACACTTAACTATATAGGAAGCAGTCATTACTCTGTATTACAGGACAGCTAACTAGGGTATAGACCATTTGAAGTTCAGTAGGCTTTTCTTAGTTGTTTGGGTTTAGTTTTTTGGTTTGGGTTTTTTTTTGTGGATTGTTTCCCCACCCCCCGAGCATTTAGGTGAGAAAATGTAAGTTAAAATCTGCCTCTAGAAAAACACACCTTTATATTGCCTCAGTGCATGTGTCACGTTGGTGTGGAATGGTCATTGTGCTAGATGGTGTGTGTACATATACATCTTTCAGTTACTGCCAGAGAGTTAAGAGGTCCTGTAAAGCCAATAGATGTTTGATAACAGACTGTGGATTTTAATACATTGAGTCTTTTATCATTGAAAGGTATATTTCCAAATGTTTGATGGGATCAAGAAGACAGGTTTTTAGAAAGGAAATAATATATTTGGACAACCAGTGTTTTTGCACAGACAGTACAGAGGAATGCACAAGCAAAGGGCTGGATTGAATTCAGGCAGTCGAGTCTAGTTCTTGTCTTTTCAGGCAATCGTATTACATTTTCTTGAAGGACTTATTTCTACTCCATGCCCCTGAGACATCATAGGTCGCACACAGGTGAGGTGCAGAATTAGTTTTACAAATAGTCAGCCCTTCACCAAACACAGTTGAATCTCCAGCAAATTTGTTGCAATTTTTTTTAAACAAGATGTATCAGAAAAATATGTAGGTCAGATTTCTAAGTTTTTATGTCAGTATAGGTTTTCTTAAGCAGTTTATACATCAAGTGGTTTTGAAACTAGTGTCTAGAACGCATATTAAATAGTTTCAGTCCTCCTTTACTTCCTGCTCAATTCTTCACCCATCTGCAGGAAATACTCAGAATTCACTTGAAGAAAAGAAAGATGCTCAAATTAAGTCAATAAACAAAGAAGCGGAAGGAGGAGAACACAACAGAAAAAATGCAACCTCTCTCATTCTTTTTGAAGAGGTAAAATTCATGTCAAATGTATTAATGTGAACAATACGTCATTTCATTATGTTTAAAGATTTTAACTTTTTTTTCCCCTTCCTCCTTAAGACTTCTAAGTAGATTCAAGTGTGAGGATTATCAACTTAAAATTTATTCAATGTTTAACGATTTCATCCTCATGAGTACTTTTTTAACCATGGATCATTATTTTACAAAGCTATTTTAAAAGATACAGAAACTATCACCTATCAACAGTTGTTCACTGTTGGAACAGTCTGCAGGATTCTGCTGATTTCATTCCTTTGATTATACCAAAAGTGTTGGTTTATAATTTTACATTACTTACATGCACTGAGACACTTTAAAAGTCACCATTAACAGCCCAGTAATTACAATATATAAGCCCACATTAAATTCTTCTTTTCTTTAACCTCTTGCCCAAAAATGTCTTTGAGTCGTAAACCAAGAATACAAAATTGCAGCCAAGAATGTAATTTTAATTAAATAAAGGAGGTACAGCAATGTTGCTAACTGTGGGTTGATCCTACAGATTACTGGTGCAATTCTATTGAATTGCAGAAAAAAAAACAAAACCACCAAAACTTCAAAAGCCACCTGGACATGGTCCTGGGCAACCTGCTCTACGTGACCTGGCTTGAGCAGGGGGCTTAGACAAGGTGATGTCCAGAGGTCCCTTGCAGCCTCAACCAGTCTGTGATTTTGTAAGCTTCAGCATGGAAGACTGTGAGGGACGTGTTGTGTGCTAACAAGTGAACTTTACCTGAAGCATGTATACCGTCATTGCCCATGCATGTTCAAGAAATCTGTATTAATGTTAAATCTTACTTAGTCATTAACATTATGACTACATTCACAGCTTCTAACTATTGTCCAGGCTATTGATATTTTGCACTTCATTTGTTTTCTATAGGTAGATATAATATTTGATGAAGATGCAGGATTTCTAAGTGCAATAAAGACATTCATGGCAACTGCAAAGAGACCTGTAATTCTTACTACCAATGGTGAGTAGACTTTACAGGCAGAAGACCCTCTTTTAATTGATGGTTTAAATGATGATAGTTGGATACAGCTCGTAAATGTAAAATTAAATGACTGGAGACTATAAAGCAAGTATTTTAGTATTTGAATAAAGATACTGGCTGCTCTAATGGGGAAAGAAAATAATTAGTTTTGAAGATAATGTCGTGACAGTTTGCTGATATCTCTTTATATAGATCCAACATTCAGCTTAATGTTTGATGGATATTTTGAAGAGATCAACTTTAGAACCCCTTCCTTGGTAAGTCTGCGTTTGGAAATGCAGATACGTCCTAAGCAAGTAATTGTCAGCTAATTTAAATTTGAAATTTAAATGTTGGTGTAGGTTTATATTTATCTGATGCAATATATCTGTTTCATCAGAAGACTGGTTTTTGGGGTTTTATGCAAGGATGTGTAGGATGTATTTATCTTTACATGTACAATTTTTGTTACTAGCATGGAAGATTTATTTTCTTAACCATTTAGTATTTCAGAGAATTGCAATAAGAACATTTCATTACTTAATTTAGGTTTTAGGATGTAGTAAATAATTTCATAGATGATACATCTAATAGTTTTAATCTGAAGGCTGACTACGCCAGAATTGGTTCACTCACGAAAAATATAGGAACTATTTTAGAAATATTATGAGTTATTCCTTTAATGTAAACACTAGTATTCTGGATAGCACATAGTTTTATTTGCAGCTATGTATTATGTGAAAAACCTAAATAAATAAGAGTCAGAAGGAACTAATTTTTGAGAAGGGGAATATTTTTAACATGAAATTGAAAATTTTTTGGACTACCAGACAATTGCAGAGTGAAAAGAAAGAAAGAAAAACCTTTAAAGTCAATATAGTTCACTAAAACCTGTTCACTGGTGATGAGAAGAAAGGTGTTTGTGGTTTCAGGAACATAAGCAGAATATGTGTGTGTTGTTTGCTTTTAATGAGTTGAATTTCTAAATTGAACTTAATTCTCTGACATGGACTGTTTAGATTTGGTAGGGTATTCTGCTTTTCTATAATATTTTAATGTAACTGTAATTTAATAAACCAATCTACTGTATTAAAAGGAAAAATTTATTGCAAGGATAAATAGAACAATTTGCTTCTATGTGAAATTGCAGTCTGATTGGTAGGAGTTGTTTTCAGTGGTCTTTGTCTAACTTTTTTTTAGATAAATGCTGCTAGCTATCTTCAAGTGCTGTGTCTGGCTGAGAATCTACGAACAGATGTAAAAGACTTAACTGCTCTGTTAACCACAAATAACTGCGATATCAGACAAAGTGTTCTCTACTTACAATTTTGGGTTAGAAGTGGAGGTGGATGCTTGAAAGACAAATGTTTGGCACATCATGGTAGGTTGATTTAATCTAGTTAAAATTCTCCATCTGAACATGAATTTGATTAAATCAAACTATTCTTAGACATGTATGAATAGATGGTAACTTTCTGTAAGACTCCTAAACATTTGGGTGGGGTTCTGGTGGTTTTTGGTTTTTTTTGCTATTTCAAAGCCTTGTATATATGCATAAGGAACTAAAAGTTTGAGTTTTATTGCATCTGTTTATTACCCCTCATTATGGTACTTAATTATCTCCCTTTCCTTTTCTGAGTAGCAAAATTGGGCAAAGCAGGGAGCCAGTAATAGTTTCTTTTCAACTAAGAGCTTGCAGTTCTTTATCCATTTAGCTGAGTTCTAGGTAGTTCACCTAGAAGCAGCAGAACTGAAAAAAGGAGACAAACTGGACAGCTAGCAAGCAGGCAGCAAGGATAAGAACTTAGTCCCAAAGGGTACAGGAAGAGTATCCTCCACAGGTGTGGGTGTGGGAGACAGCGTGTGAGTGAGCGACAGAAAGAGACCAGTGGGGTGTAAAAGGAAGAACAGACTATTTCAAATGGTTACTTGCAAAGAAGGGAGAAAGAGCAGATTGGTAACACTTGAAGAAATGAAATAGGGATGATGAATGGGGATGACTAATTTCAGTTGCTATATTCATTCAGAACTGCAGCAAGAGGTGACAGTTACAATATCCTTTATAAAAGCAATTGAGGCAAAAAGGGGAAAAATCAATTTACTGATGCAATTGTTTCTTTTCAAGTAAAGCATGTTATCTTTGTGCAGGAGGAGATGAGACAAATAAAGCAGATCATGTAATTCATTCTGAAAAGACTACTGATTCCAAGATTAATTTTTCTCAAGCGGATTCACGTCTTCAGGAGTTTCCAAAATGTGATACAGGCTGTGTAGAGACATTGCTTGGCCTTAAGAATATCCTGTTGCCTTCAGAAGATTTGTTTACATTTCTTAAGGTATTTTTGTAGTTGACTAACACTTTGAATGATAGCCAGACAATTGAGTGTAATCGTCACTATGAACAGCATCTTCTGAAATGTCTTTGAAAAGGGTTGTTGTAGAAGTTAGGAGATTCTGTCGTTACTAAGCAAAATCTGAACTGGGGCAGTCTCTTGTAAGCAAAACAGTCCCTCACCTCATAAACACAAAGTCAGGAGTATGAGATTTTCTGTAATAACATTTTTATTTTAAAAAACATATTTTAATGCATTAAATTTTTCACGATTATTATTTTACAGCAAAAAATCACAACCATGGAGAAATGGAATAAATTGATGCAGATTCTCACAGAATTCCAGATGAAGAAAGTGGATTTTATATATAGTAATCTTGAACTTATTCTTCCCTTACCAGTGCAAGTTCTTTCAAACCAATCTGAAGCCTCCAACTCCATACTTGAAAGGACTACCGTAGTTTCTTTGAAAAACAGATCTACTAACAGTTACTGCTCTGGAAAAAAGTCTAAAAAGACAAAGAGCCAGAAAAGGCTTGATATATTAGATGATAGTGACTTATTTGATACTGGACTGAACTATTCAGCTGAATTCATAACTTTGCCATCAGATAGCCCTACATCAGGTGCTGAAGTGAATAAAGAGGAATCAAAATTGTTGATGAATAAAGAAGAAAAAGAAATTAAAACTAAAACCTCAGCAAATGAGAAGAGGTCTGCTCTTGTTTTTCAGTGTCTGAACTCACTGACTGAATTTGTGGAGAACATGTCTTTCTTGGATTGCTGTGTAAACACTAACACCAATGAACCACTGGAGTTTTCTAAAGATGAAGGATTTAATTGGACAAATGGCAAAATCAAAAATGGTCTTTGTGATGAATTCAGTATAGAAAATACTGATTGGTGGAGTTCCCAGAGCTGTAGTGAAATAAAGGCAGCTATTGAAGTGCTCAGTTTTAACAAATGTTCTGTTAATATTTCACAAAACTTGGAATCCTCTTTCAGTACTAGTAAAACATCTGAAAATGATCAACTGGAGGGACTTACTTTGCATATTTCAAACACAAGAAATTATGTATCCTTCAGTCAGTTGGCTGATTCAAGGTAAGACTTTGCTAATATTTCTGGAATATAATGCAGTTATTTGTCACTAAAAGCATTTCACGGGCTGTAGGACTGTTTGAGATACTACGTATACACATTCATACCAACAGGAATGTTGTCAGTCTGTCTTAGAACGCTGGAACACATTGTTTACTTCGCTTGTACAAGCTTAAATTAACTGCTTGGCAATCTCGGCAAAAAGTGACTTTTCTTGTTTGAATAGCCTGACTATAATGTTGTTCAGGAATGGTAGCCTTAATCTAGTCTATTTACTTCTAAAATGAACAGACAAACACCACCACCCCCAAAAGAATAACAAAAACCTAAAGGAATGGCTTTTTCAAGAGAAGACAGGTGGACTGAAATGGATTCTGCAAGTATTACCCATGCAAATTTTTTTATCCAGTGCCTGGTCATATTGAACCTGTGTTAAACGCATAGGTGTTGCTTAATGAAGACCTAACAGAATTCAGAGCAAAGTTAATGCAATTTTTTTGTAGTAGCTTATGCTATCAAAGAATAACCTTTTAATGTATTATAAAAGATCAAAGAATACATTGCTGCTAGCAAGTGTGAATATGAAAGATTGTTTTTAACATAAACCAGTCATCATATGTGAAACTGGCATAATACGTGAATAAAACCTATTCAAGTGTCTGAATAGGAAAATAGGTTAGACTCTTATTTCTGTAAGTCAGTACCCAGAGGAGCAATGTCAAAATAGATCTAAGCATCTAACCTGTCACCAAGTTTGGCCAATATATCATGAGTTATACATTGGGTCTGATATTGACATTCTGGCAAATGCCAATCACATGACGCTTTTTATTTTTGAAGACACAGATGCTTTTGGTCTCATTGTCTGACGGATGCACTAGACCTTGCATACATAACTAGATTGTGAAGACGTCCCCAGATTAGTCTCCATAGTTAAGCTAAGAGCATTGGCCAAACAAATTACTGTCCCTCATGTTTCTGTCTCTGAGCGCAGCTTTGTGATGTTGTGTAAGCAGCATGTGATCAGAAGTTGCAGGCATCTAATCCATTGGGATGCAGTTTTGGACATCAGTATGTTTAACAGAATTTTAAACCAGTGGATTTGATCTTTAAGGAACAAAACAGGGACAGTACATTCTTGAACAATAAACAATAAAGCTTCTTTCTCCATTTTAGCATTCACAAAAAAGCACAGAAGAGGCTGGCAGTCATCAGAACTGTATTTTCCAGAAGTCCTTTAAACCTGGGTAATAAGCAAGCCAGCATACTTGAATACCTCCCCACTCTTCGCAGTATCTGTAGGTCTGAGAAGCTTAAAGAGCAAGGGAAGACTAAAAGAAGGTAAGTTTTGGTTTTCCTAAATCTTGCTACATTTTAATATACAAGGCAGTTAAGAATTTTAATAAAATGTTTTGTCAAATAATTCTAGACAAGAAAGGTGAATGTTTGCCTCTCCAAATAATAAAAGTGTTGCCTTATATTTGGAAATAACTTTGTCTCCTTAAAGTCACTTTTACTTTTCTTTTTATAGGTTCTTGCATTATCTTGAAGGGATTCATCTTGAAATACCTAGACAAATGATAAATGGTCTGTCTTTGGACTTTCCCTAAAATTGCTAACACCAGAAATATTTTGTGCCTAATGGTGGTATTCTCACCATAGTTTGATTATTTTTTTTTTTTTACTACATTATTTTATTGTATATTCAGAGCCATTTGTATATTAAATTTCTATAAGTATTTAAAATAATGTATATACTGATTGTCATGATATTGCTGTCCACAACTGAAATGTGGGTTTATTTGGTGCTTGTCCAATACGTGCATTTATAATATTAAATGCATAAACTAATCAATGGGGACTATTTCATACTATCTTTCTCTGTAATTTGTGTATCACATAGCAAGAAGTCCTTTTGTAATGACCAACTGTCACAACTTCCAGAGCAAAGTTGCTTTTTTTTAGGAGACCGTTTTATTAAAATAAGCTTGTTTCTTTCTGAATTTGCAGTTAAGTCTTAAATAACTTGGGGTGGGATGGGGCAGGGAGAGGATGCAATAATGTAAACAACTAAACCCAACTCTTCACAGTAACAACTGGGTAAAAAAATCTTCACAAAGCACTATGCCTCAATGTACATATATTTGTATACATTCATTTCATTATTTACAGCTGTCAAATCGGCCTGTTAATCTAAAAGGGTAGAGAAATTATTACCGTAGCTCAAGATGGTCTCAGAGATTAGGCAAGATTTTGTAAATAACAATTATTTCAGTGTTACTTTGGTTTCAGTAATATTTAACTACTTCTAGTCTTGTATATTGTGTTCTATTTTTATGCTTCATTTTGTATTTGACAAGAATTCGGTTGTCAATTGTGATTGAATCTGTTTTTATACGACAATAAATTTGTGAAGCTTTGCTACAATTCTGAATTTCTGTTGTATGAAAAGTAAGACTCCTAAAACTTAATGTTTTCGGTCCATAAAGATGATGTTTAAGGGGTTTTTAACTGGAAATATTTTAACCATGTACTTTTGCGCCTTTATGTTGCAGTTGGACTGTTCCTCTTCCTCAAACTTAGTCAGATTGGTGCTATGCAGTGGTACTCCACTTACCTCAACGTCTCTGTAATAGTAAGGAAGGTCATTTTATATTTTTCATGTCTTAAAGATGTTCAGGAATGAGAAATATTTATGAAAACAGTAAATTATTCTAAGCTTCTGCATTGTAGATAATAATCTTTATAGCTTACTCTTTCCGTAGCCCAGAATTATCAAGTAAGAATGAAATAAAGTGGTGGGTGTTAAAATCTTAATGGGTTGTATTGTTGTATCAAGGTTCTAAGCACCTCCTGTACATTCTTGTAAAAATAAATAACTTTTTTTAATTTTTAAAATAAAAAAGGAGAAGTATATCTGTTTACTACTTTATAAAGGCATTCGCAATCTAACTAGATTACAGTGGGGACCTACATAAATTGGAAACAGGCCCTATAAAGTATTATTATTTTAGGAAATTCATGGATAATTTCAAAGACATAAGGTAGAAAGCAATAGGAGACAACTTGCCTACTTTTGAAGTCAACTCTCTGGTTCTAGTAAGTTCCTTCAGAATTTTTTTATAGAATTTTCAGGCTGTGGTGTCCAAAAGGGAAGGTGGAATTCAAGTATTTCACTTCTTGATAAGATACCTCTGTGCAATTACCACATAAAAACAACTCAAGGTAGTTTGAATGAAAGATAATCTACTTGTGATGATTTCTTTGAATAATTTTCTTATAAACTAGCAACTTTGCATTTTTTTTATGCATCACGTATGAGCACCTTTTGTATGCTAGAAGCAAGCAAGTTTCTATGAAGGACAGGCTGGTCTTGAGGGAAAAGAGATCTGGGGCTGGTTTTGATTAACTCCGCTTAAAAGGAAATGCTTCACAAGATCCATTCCAGTACTGCAGCAGTCACCTACCTTTGATTCAAAATGTTTTCTTGGAATAGTTTGCGCCCTGCTTAGTACTTTATACTGCCCATCTAGCTACCTTGTGTGCCTTAGGTAGTAGAGCACACAACATTGCTTCCACAGTGTGAAAATGTAATGTAAGAAAAAACAGGCTTCTCTTTGGAACAGAAAACACCTTTTCTTCCAAAATAGAAAAATAAGCTTCAGGCATCTTGGGAATGACTGAAGATACCTGGAAAGGAAAAAGACAAAACCCATGCCTGCAGTCTACTTAAACAAAAGAAAACAGTGAAACCAGAAGTAAAAAAAAAAAGAAAAAAAACTAAACTAACCTGGAATTTCACAATGACTCTACACCCTATTTAAGCAGGAGTTATTACTAGGTGTACAGTAACTCAAAACCAAAAAAAAAAACCCAACAAACATGTTGTTCTTGTTAAGAAAAGCTTGAAACTTCACTGAGATTTCTTTTTACTGTCATTCCAATATTGCTTTCTAGAATGTCAATGAAGGTGACAGTATTCTACAATCCCATGAGTAATATAGAAAAAAGCAGTTCAGCCTTAGGTGGGTTCTTGCAAGCACATGCTGTGTTAATACTAATGCAGAGTAGAAGTACGAGGATTCAAAGTTCCCTTTACAAGCAAGACTATCTCAGTCTTTGTAAAAGCCCTGAAACAGGGCAAGATGTATCTTGACAGCTGAGGGCTAGGAAGGACGTGTCCCCTGCAAGTGGCAGAAAGACACTGAAGCTCAGCCATCTGAGTATGACATTAAAAAATCATGGGGCTACTGACGAATGCTGGGGTTTTTTGGTGGTGCATTTCTATGTTGTCTTGAATACAAATAACCATTTTGCAATTCTCTTATTTTATGAGATTTGTAAGAACTCCACAAAAATTAAGCTAGGAAAACAGCTTCAATATATGGCTTGCAAGAAAATTATCTCAGGGGAAAATTAAATCCATGTTTACATTCTAGTATTCAACAGTTCTTAAAGGGTAAGTGCTGAAAAGAGAGGTTTTATATAGGTAGTTGAACAACTCAACTTTTCAGATATTCTGCTGCTGTTTGTTTCATGACTTTACAATATTTTAAAATAAATAAAAGGTACAATGCTATTTAGTGCCTAAAAAGACGGAAAAAATGTGGCAGTACTTTCAACTGATAATACATCTCTAGTATAGTATTTTGTCATCTGCAAAATAAGTAACTACAGTGTTTTTAAAAGATTATACATAAACTTTACTAAAGAATCGCATGTTGTAGTGCACTATAGTAATGCAAGTTAACTATGCAAATTAAGTTTAACCTGAAACTAGTAAAAATATTTGAATACTTCTTGATCTATTTCTGATTTCGTTAACCTTCTTGAAAAATCTTTCCCTCATCTTAAGTTTTCTGTCTTTTCTTAGATAAACTGAATATTAAGCCACAGACTTTTTGACATTGGCTTTATCTTGAAAGAGGGACATTTTCATTAGGATTTGCAAATCCTGAAATGCTCCATTTTCCCTGTATTGAGTCATGCTGACCGTCTTTTTTTCTTGCACCACTTCGGTGTCGTGCAGCTCCTCCTCAGATACCGTGTGGAGCGCTTGCAGGGCGGCAGAGCTTTGCTGAAGAGCGCGCTAACTCGCTGTCTGGGGCATCAATGCTTTGATCGATGTCTGGTCAGCAGATGCTATGCTGTTATGTAGCAGGCTTTTTAAAATTTTTTTTTTAGAGACAAACCTGAGGTGGAGTTGAGGCAAGCCTGTAGGTGCATGGATGAGCCCTCCTCCTGGAAACTGGAACCTTTAATGAATTTTCAGAGCAGAAGCTCCTAAGCCATGGTGGGAGGCCTATCCTAGCTTGCTTCAGTGCTCCCCAAAGAAAGGCGGCGGCTTGCCGCGTTGTAACGAGCGGTGGCACGCGGCTGCTCTGGCGCCCGGCCG